TTTTCGAACTGTACTCAAGCTGTATGTCGCAACCAATATTGCAGTCAAGTTGGTAAGCCCGTCGCATGCCCAGGTTTAACTGAAGGTTCTTGCGAGACAGGATGTGTATGCAAAGAAGGCTATTATCGTGACCGAAAAGGAAATTGTATTCCCGAAAAGGAATGCCCGAGTAAGAAAAATTTAGTATTATTTTTACTTAAATCGACAAAATGGTCTGACGCATAATTTCTGTGCTTTGAAAACTGAGTTTACATTAGTTGCATTGCCGCAGAATATTATACCGTATCTTAGTATGGAAGCGACATAACCGCTATATGCTTGAAGAACCAAGTTTTTTATCTACAACTTTGCTAAGCATGTATAATGCGTGTGCATTAGTGTTGAGTTAAGTGCAAATACCCTCTAATTGTGCTTTCTAGCTAATGTTGTCGTCAAAGTGTATATCTAGGAACTTTGTTACATTTGTGTCTCCGATGTGCGTCTCTCCGATGTCATTTTTTTTTTAAATACCATCAAGTAATCTCTTTGTGTCATAGCTTCATGTAATGGTGATCCAAATGCGCGCCCCGGATGTGGAGTAAACTGTGGTAGACTTTGTTCAAACTACAAAAGAGCCAAGGAAATTTCCTGTATACAAGTTTGTTATCCCGACGGCTGCGATTGTATTGAGGGTACTGTTTTGGACACTAATACTGGAAAATGTGTTCCACCAGAAAAATGCAGTAAGTTTAGTTAGTTCTTCAATCTTACATCTCTCACTTCCTTGCACGGACTCGAATAATATACTACCTCATTTCTAGCACCCACATGCAGTGTTAATGAAGAATTTTCGAACTGTACTCAAGCCGTATGTCGCAACCAATATTGCAGTCAGGTTGGTAAGCCCGTCGCATGCCCAGGTGTAACCGCAGGTTCTTGCGAGACAGGATGTGTATGCAAAGAAGGCTACTATCGTGACCAAAAAGGAAACTGTATTCCCGAAAAGGAATGCCCGAGTAAGAAAAATTTAATATTAGTTTACAGAGTCTGCTTTTTAGCATTTTTTCAATAGTAAACTCTCCCAAAAGCTCAACCCGATGTTGTAAATAGTATGTAAGACAAATTCAAACTCCTATTGAATCTTTATAATGCGTTTTCCTTAAACACCAACCCTACAAAGTTAACTTACACAAACGTTTTTATATGTAGTGAATAGTTATAATATGGTAACTTCATACAAACGTGGCAGCGCGGCTTGTATGTGTGCACGCCGTACACCCCGTGTACTAACGTAGATATTCGCATTATCGCGCAGTGCGGGTTTGTAACATCTGCGCCCGGGGTTGGTTTAAAGTTTCAACGGAACCCGAATCAGCCGAAATACGAGTATCATGTGATCGCGGGATTGGTGCTTGTTAAGAATAATTAAAATTGTGTCTCGTCCAATCCCGGGTTCAATTGCACCTCGAGAGATGACATTAAATTAGTATCGTTAGAACCCGAATTCATTTTCGATAGATGTTGGTACATTTCGTTTCTTTAAGGGGCGATGGGTTTGTTTCCGATCACTACTTGACAACTTGCAACTCGACGTCAAGGCGCCTATTTTGCGTGTGGTGGGTGCAGGGTTCTACTCGTGCCACCCAAGCTCCTCCAGGAATCTCAGCAGCCTCCTCGGTTTGCTGAAGACTTCGGGGAGCGACCTTGGCACTCCAAAGTACCCTGTAGTTGGCCAGGCCGGAGCACTGTAGGTGTTTATTGTATGGACCATGACCCCTTTGGGCGGCAGTTTGAGTGCGAAGCTCTTGCCTTTTGAGTTTAATAAATATGCGAGATAGACTGACATTGAGCGTTGGGAGTGCTTCCCTCGCCTGTCTACAGACCGTAAGGGTCATCCATGCATTTCGTCCATGTTGTTCTGAACCATTGGTAGGGGAGGGATACTATGGGTTCTGGTCCTACAGCGTCCATCTCCGACCCTTTTCTGGCTAGTTCATCTGCCGCATCATTGCCACGTGAGCCGCTGTGTCCTTTAATCCACTGTAGGGTTACGTGGATTTGTATACATACCTCCGATCACTATTCCGATGAAATAATATTGTTTTAAGGAAACTGATTAATGTTCAAAAATATTTTTTAATGTATAATTCTACATACATAACTCAAAAACTTCCGAATTACATATCCAGAAACCGTTGCATTTAGAACAAGTTGTTTAGTATGGACGGGTGTTATGCATAGTTTAAAGAAAATTATATTGCATTGTTTTTTTTTATAATATCAAGTGACGGGACGAACAATACGTGCGCCTGATCGTAAGCCATACGCCTGTTCATAACAGTTGCAGTGCCACTCAGAGCTTTAAATCGCAAAGATCTGAGGGGCACTGCCACTGCGCCCGTCACCCTGAGACATAAGTTGACAAGTCCCATGTGCCTGTAATATCACCCTTACCCTTCAAAACCGGAACACAGTGCTGACATTACTGCTTGGCAGCAGAAATAGGTAAGGTGGCAGTACTTCCCTGGACGAACTCTTTCACAAGGAGCTATACTGCTACCATAATTATTATAATTATTATAATTATTATGTATTGTGTACAATTAAATAGGTATATCCATAGCTATTTAAGCGTATTAGAATATACATGCTCAAAAAGTACATTCCAGAAACCGTCGCATAGCGTATGTTTTATAATAATTAGAAAACATGAAAATTAGTGCCGGACACTGCCAGAAAAAACTAAGGAAATGATTTTTTTATGGTATCAAGTGATGAGACGAACAAGTCGTATACCTGGTGATAAGCGACATGCCTGCCCATAACAGTTGCTGTGCCACTCAGAGTTTTAAATCGCAAAAATCTGAGGGCCTCATCATCAAATCACTGTACCCGTCACCCTTAAACATAAGTTGACAACTCCCATGTGCCTGTAATTTCAGCAGCATCTTATTTGTATTTTGATTCGGGACTTCATCACGTACAAAACATATTTTATTTACCACGACGTTTCGGACAAATTGCAACGATTGAGTCGTTGTCGTCGGTGTTGATGAAAAACCTGCAGATTAACCAAACCACCGTAGATGCTGTGAATAGTAAATAACAATAAATGTTAAACAACATCACATACATGGCTCTGATCAAAAACTAAACTAAAGCACTTGATTTATGGAAATGAAACAACGACGGTACCACAAACATCCAGACCTAAGACAATACAGAAAAGTTAGCTTTTCTACATTGACCTGGCTGGAGATCTAACCTGGGACCTGGGAAATCGGCTCTCCAGCAACGCCTCGTAGATATGTAAGCTATAGTTTAGGTTACCATGGAACATGGCCATATACATTGTATAGAAGTTCCTAAACAAATGAAGGATTCAAAAATGATTATAACAATGCGGAAGTAGAGTAGCAAGTAGTACGTAGTGTATGTGTGTTCATCGCGACAGAAGTTTCATTTTTAAATATTGTTATACATTTTCAATGATATAATAAATAACACACAAACAGGCTTTTAATATTAAAAATCTAAATACTTTCTGACAAATTGTGATTAATTTACAGGTCAATGCCCAGCGAACGAGAGATACGTACAATGCCCAAGTACCATGTGTTTACCACAACGTTGTGATCAACTTGGATACCCAATAGCTTGCCCAAGCCCAGGCCCTGACGGCCAGTGCCCCGGCAAACCAGGGTGCATATGCGATGCAGGGTATGTGAGGAACAATGAAGGCAAATGCGTGCCTCAGAAAGAATGTCGTGAGTAATTTTAGCCACGTATTTATTTTTTGAAGGAATTGTATCAATAAAAACAGACCAAAATCAAATATTAGGGATGAGTGAATAAAATCATTAGAAGTATAAAAACGAGGCGTTAGTAATCTGATGAACTTCACTTGCAAAAATAATCATGGAGTTATAAAATAAAAAAATATTATTGTAAAAATTGTATCACCCACTTACTATTATCATTAAAATTAGCCGTAATTATAAACTACGTATATTAACAATACTCTAATATTACACAACACATTTTTTACAAAAGCTTTTATTTTCTTTCACTACTAAAAACTTTAAAAAAACTAAAAAAAGTTAAAGAAACCTTATTTTTCTGAAGGATACAAATAAACTTCGATAATATAAATTCCAAATATAAAATAATATTATTATTACGGAATATATATTCCATTATATAATACTTAAGAATAGTGTTTGTTACCTTATGTTCCAACAGCATCATGTGGAGGTGATCCTAATGCAGAATCAGGCTGCGGTAATCATTGTGGTAGACGATGTTCCGATTACAAGAAGAGTAATGTAGCGTGCCCTCTTTTCTGCATGCTCAATGGATGCAATTGCAAGAAAGGTTACGTATATGATGACAACATACGCAAATGCGTGCTTCCTGAAGATTGCAGTAAGTTACTCGATTCGTAGTTTACTAAATAGTGTCATTAGAATACTGTTCTTTTGAACCCATAATTTGCAATAGCATCGGAACTGCCTCTACGTCAATTTTAAACGTTTCGTCTGTGTTCCAAGAAAGTTTGAAAAGTAGCATGAAAGTCAGACTTGCACTTACAATTATCTACTACTTTAATTTTTGTAAAACCTTTCATTTCCATATACACGTTTTATTATGAACTTTCTATGCTCGCGATCTCATACTTGCAAACGTGTATCTTTAAAAGGCTAAGTTCGTAATGGAAGCGATCTTTTGTAACCATAGCATAATCGTGTGTCATTTGTGTACCATACAAACCAGAATTGCGAAAAAGATCACGCGTCTTCCGGAAAATTCTCGCGCATTCACGGGAATTCTCTCAGTTACCGCATCGTATCTAGTTTGTACGTCACACAATTGACATAAAATTAATCATGCTACGTACAATTTCGTCACAAAACTTCGCTTCCTTTCTGTTACACGGCAATTTAAATTGAGCCTTAGTGAGTACAATTAAAGATAACCAGTTATAATTTTCAGTTTCTTATTGTATCGTAAAGCACATTTACAGATAATATAGTTTACAATTTACTGTTATCATTAAAACCATTATTATATCTTGCCGAACGGCTAGTGTCACATAAACACACGCATTAAAATGTACATATCTTTTTTATTTGTCCAAGAATTTAAATTAAAGTAACACTAAACGTCAAATCAAAAGTTATCTTAATATATCACCGAAAACTGCATCTAAATTGGTTAAGCTATTATCGAGATTAGTGTGCTCGGACTAAAATTCAAAACAACTGATACTAACAATATAGGTAATAGTAGCGTGTTTTCATTAGGTACCACTGATTATAACTTCAAAATATATAAGTACAGACAGCTTCCTAAGGCTCAACTCACACTGGCGCAGATTCGAAGCGTCGCGACGCGTCATGTTTTTTGCCTATAGAATATTCATCTCTATTTTCCCAATATTAAGGTACAAATTTGTGTTATGCAAATATGAGGTCAAGTGTCGCCAGGCGTTGTAGTTGCAAAACAGGACGCAACGCGACACTTCGTCTCTACCCCAGTGTGAGTTGATCCTTACGGTTATATGAATCAATGCACATTGTAAAATCGTGAAAAATATTAACCTTCTGAAATTCAATAAGTATAAACAAAAATTTAAAAAAATAGACGTTTTTAAATTAAAAATAATAAAATTATTTTTTTAGCTCCAGATTGTCCTGCAAATGAGGAATGGAATACTTGCGCAAATGGTGGTTGCTACAGCGCCCGAAACTGCTCACAAATTGGAAACCCAGTCGTTTGCGTTGACCCCCTTAAATGCAAAGGTGGATGCTTATGTAAAGATAAATTTTTAAGAAACGATGAAACCGGAGTTTGTGTACCTATCGACAAATGCCCTAATAATGGTAAGTCAACTACTAGAATTATCACTTTGTGTGCGGGATGCACCTATGACTGGTTTCAAGTCAAACAACGATTGTATATACTGTGAATATCTGGAGGCTGACTTTTGTTTGGTAAGGTTGGCTGCTGGCTTTTCTTCGGGTCTTTTTATGTATCTCGAGCTTAGGCTGTTTTTGGACTGTGCTTCTATTGGCGCCAGTGCGCCTTTTACAGGTGAGCGAGCCTTCCTTTTCCCGCCAAAAGTTACCTCACCTCCTTTGTACTATTTATTCATCTGTCACATATTAATCTATTACAAATACTTTTCTATTGAACGTCTCTTACTGCTAATTTCTACATAACGTCTTAAAAACTATATAAGTGGTACATAACCGCCTTAGTTGTGGGCCTGCAGGCGATTTGTGCCGGGCCACCTACTTATACTACCCTGCCCCCTGCTTCCGGTGTATAAGTAGTCACCCTAGCTGCGTATGCGCTCATCTGCGCGCGAGTTGGACCAAAGAGGCATATTCTCTAATTTACTCACTATTTCAACTGAATACCTGTTTGATCCTTATTAGAATAAAACTAGAGACATATACAAACTTTATTTCTACCACTTAAGACTATTAGAACAAATAAGCGTACAACAAATAAACGTTAAACTATTTACACAAATGTAACGCAATACTTTATACAATGCGCAAACTTACAACCACTCGTTGAGTGCAGCCGTACCGAATACTTTGTCAAAAACAAGCGTGACACTATTCACAGCTTAGAAACCTAGTCGTTCGCATTGACCTCTTTGTATGCAAAAGTGGATGCTTTAAACGGAATTATTGGCGAGAGATACTACACGCGTATCTGTAATGTAATTCCTTGATAGCGACTGGTCTAATTCGCCTTTAGTCTGATCAAAACATTTACACAAAATTAAAAAATGAGTAACGGCTGTCTATTGCATCAATTTCATATATTTTAAAGGATCCACATTAACTGCCTCCGTGGCCAAACGGCTACCATTACGGACTGCCACGCAAAGGTCCCAGGTTCGAATCCCGGGTCGGGAGAAATATTTAAGAAAGAAAGAAAGCCCTATAACGCACACACTCAACATAGCCCCGCACTAGGGAAACCCTGTGTCGCGGGTGCCATGGACACACATATAGACAACCACAAATTACACCCAAACTCACGAGAGAAATAATTGTAGGCCATACAACTATTTCTCCCGGCCCGGGAATCGGACCTCTGCGTGGCAGTCCGGCATGGTAACCGTTCGGCCACGGAGGCAGTTAATTTATATGGCTTACATTCTGTCGTGAGTTTAGGTGTAATTTGTGGTTGTCTACTTGTGTGTCCATGGTACCCCGAAACACCCTAGAGCGGAGCTATGTTGAGTGTGTGAGTTATTATTATTATTTTAACAAATGAATTTCAATAAGGATCTTAAATTCTTACCGCTTTCGAACTGTGGAACTGTTTAAAAGGAAACTTTAAAAGGAAACTGACAAACGATGTCCCACGGTATTTTGTTTCTAAATCGATTTTTTTAAGGGAGTCTGAACTCTCAGTGTCCTAAAATATTATTTTACCTATATATTTACATTTTAGAATGTGGAAAAAACGAAGTCTACGACCGATGTCCGCCAGTATGTCCACCTCAAGAATGTGGAGTAAATCCAGCTACAATTCGGTGTGCGTCTAACCCAAAACCGGGCTCTCCCGAATGCAAACCATCTTGTAGATGTAAAGATGGTTACGTAAGAAACGACAAAAGGGAATGTGTACTTCCTGAACAATGCCGTATGTAGATTTCAATGCTGTTTTCTGTGTGTTTTATTTTCTGAGATAATTTTGGATTGTCTTGACGCGTCGATTTTATTGCCATTAGGGCCATGGCCAGTGTCCAGCAAAGTTTATCACAAATAGCGAACATGAGGAGCACTGTGACGTCACATTTTTGAAGCACCGCGCTCACCTCGAGAAATGGCCGCGAAAGAATATCGCAGTGCCAAACATAGTCACTGCTAATTTTAGAATATTTTGACAGTAATGCACGGTAATTTTATCCACGTAAAAATTGAGCGTGACAAATGAAATAAACAGAAGCAATAAAAAGAAACAGTATAGTATGGCAGTATATCGCATGCAATATGTGATAAACCTCCCCGTGACGTATTTATTGCATTCGATAAAGCTATATTGACATTATTAAAATTTTATTTTTTATTGTGAATATTCAATCGGTGAGATACCGCACTAGCATCATTCGTTCTTTTCGTTAAACGTAAGATCGCGTGCTCCAAAAACAAGGTTTAATAGAAATCGTGAAAGGAAAAGAATTCTTAATTTTAATAACTCTGTTTGGGGTGCACGAAAGGAGCGTCCCAACATGATGTACCATTCCTTCCTGTACGTCTGACGCACCCGGGGCATATATTTGTATATTTACACATTATTTCCAACATTTGACCTACACTTATTTCTCACGTGAGTTTGGGTATAATTTGTGGTTGTTTATGTGTGTGTCCATGGCACCCGTGACACAGGGTTTATCTAGTGCGGGGCTATGTTGAGTGTGTGCGTTATTATTGTTATTTGTTAATTGTTTACCTTACGCCGATTGGCAAATCCTTTCACCTCGGTCATTATTGTATGCATGCCATCGATACGATAAGAAGAAGATAACTCTGTTAAGTGCGGCATATTAAAAAAAGAAAGAAAACCTTAGAAAATACTAGAAACAGAGTAGACAAACTGAAACAAAGAGAACAATGCTTAATCAATCACAGAGGACGGAACCGAATGCAAAGTGCAGAGTGGTCGCATGATTTGTCAATCTTAGACATTTTTACTCAACGTTAATTATGCTTAATACCAACAATAAAACAAAATTTAAGTAAAAACTTCACAACAAAATTGAAATAACTCTAACATACTTCTATTGATAAATAATATTGTTCGCAGAAGCATTTACGTCAATCAAAGGGTCAAAATCTTAGGGAGCTATTCGAAAGTTATTTGTCATCGCAAATTTACCCAAATAAGAAAGAAAATGCCTAATTTGGGCTAAAACTTGACGACAACACAAAACGATACCGAAAAGAGGATCATAACAAAACTTCGCTCGCATTTAAATTTACTGCGTTAAACAGAAAGCTGATAATCCAGTGAATGTCATAACCGTTGTCAACATTTATTTAATATCGACTAAATTACTTTTCAACGTTTCTGCACTCATTTAGAGGCAAAATTTTATAGCGTCGGGACTAATCTATGACTATAAAGTTTTTATTACTATTATTTAGTAATTCTAACTATTGTTAGCGTTACAGCTGTTTCCTCCACTGATGTGACCGTTGTCAGGTATATAATAACCACATTTTGTAATCATACGGAAAATGCCCGTAGTTGTTCATTAATGTTTCCAGTTTTCCGTAAACTCACTATATTTTAACGCCATATCATCGTGGCTATATTTGCAAAAATCGCGAATTTCTAATTTAGATCGTCTGCATGATAACTTACCATTTTTCAGGTTTAATTCCAAGATTTTTTGTAAAATACGTTTTTTCAATGTTCGACGCATGACTCATAAACATATTTTATGTTTTAAACATAAAATAATGTAATTTACCATAGAACCTACGTAACATTGACACATTTAATAAAAAGAAATTACAACAGAAAAAACAATATTTACATATCACTATAGTTAATACTAGATAAATGTTCTAAATTCACGGTGTTGACACAAGTGCACGACCAACGTTAGTCCTATATAAAAGGTAATAGTGTTAAATAAAATACCAGACGCCGCTATTCAACATCGTCATGGAATCGGAAAGTTTTTTTGTTAACTATGTGTCACAAGGCTATTTGTAGGCCCACATTTCACTGAAACTGGCGATGATCGCCATAATTTTTATGCTCATCTTAAATACACTGGCACAAGCCTAGTGACTGCCATATTATCATTTTTCTTTGTTTTTAACGACACGTGATTTTTTTGACAGCTCAAACTGGTTGTCAATTGGGGTGGGTTCAGAATTACTATAGTCTCCATGACATGATCTGATGATAGTCGATAGGGGTCCGTAGTTTCACACTACATTTTTCCCACGACCCTACCAAACGCTCGCCATTCTTGTACCGACCTTGGTGACATCTGGTCTTCACTAGATCTAGTAAATATACGAAGTCTCACCTTTTCGAAGCCCTACACCTGGCCTTACTTCTACCGCGCTTACGCGCTTGTTTGATGACCAGTTCCTCGATTGCCTCACGATAAACCTGGTCTTCACGTTTATGCTCCTCATATCTCGATTGTGTACCTCACCTTCACCAAGCTAGTTTGGAGCGGCAGGAGTAACTGAAGCCGACGCTGAAGATGAAATAGAACTCCACCTCCGAGTACAAAGTGATATAATTCACTCTGAACTACCACCGCCGTCTCGTCGTCATTCCTCGCTGCCGTCTGGTTCCACTCTACAGCCGCTATCCAGCTCACAACCTCGCTGCTCTTCGGTTCTGCACCTCTATCCTCAGTCACCGAGAGTCGAGGGCAGAGGCCTCCAACTCCGTCTCTCCATCTTCTCCTATTTTCACCTTCACACTACACTTACATTGCGCACTCTAGCACGTCCTAACACTCTCAGTTTCTTCCCATCTCCACAATATCACAATTTTTTTTTTAATGATACCAAATGGCGAGATGAACAAGTCGAGTGCCTGCTGCTATGCTACTCAGAGCTATAAATTACAAAGGTCTGAGGGCAGTGCCATTACGCCCGTCAACCTGAGACATAAGTTAACAAGTCCCATGTGCTTGTAATTTCACCAGCACCCTTACTCTTCAAAACCGAAACGCTGTAACACTCACATTAAAATTGTACTGATCATGACAGTTTTTTAAAAGATTTTGCTTAGGTATTTATCAATTTTTGTATAAAGCAATTATTTTGCGAACAACCGGGTAGTCGGTGAACTCAAAATCATTTACCGTAAACAGTTTTTCTTCGCAAATAAGAAATTTTCGTACCACCGATGATAATTCAAAACTATAATGTAAATAATAACAAGTTCAAACAAACATCAATACACGCAACGACTTTAAATTTTGTCACAATGTTCTACGACAACACAACTTTTTAGAGTGCCGTATTACATTTAT